TCAAAGGACGTGCCTGATGCTGTGTGGTGGTGGGATTACGCAGCTATGCCTCCATCTGTGGCTCAGGAGGCTACAGTGTGAAAAAAAGCTACTGATGCCCCAGCACAAATATCAAAGACTAGTCCAGTAACAATCATAGCGAGAAGCAGTGGTGCTGTTAGCGAGTAACCAAAGGGTGCAACTGCAAGCCTTGTATGTAGAACAGCAGGACTGAAGGCAGAGGGAAAAGAACTGCTTCCAGGGAATACAGGCATGTTGACGCTGGTAGGCAATATCTCCTGCTGGGCTTTGTCACTGGTTGCTTTTCCCCGTGTTGTAAGAGGTGGACCCTATTGACTTCTTTTAAGATTCAGCACTGTCATATTAATCTTTCCTAGTTTACTTGCAAGGGGCCTAGAAGAATAGACACTTGCTGTAGTAACCCGTGCATAGCACCAGCTAAAGAAGCTCTCAGCTCTTGGTAGAATTTCTCCATGGGTAGGTGTTGAGTTTGAGAGATGTTGCTAAATTTATTCTTCTCGTTCAGGTTCTCATTTCTGATTAAAACCAAAAAAGATAATGAACAACTACTCCAACCATACACAGAAGAAATGTTATGCATTTGACAGCAGCTACAAGATTTCATCTTCTTTCTAAGCCTGCCTTGTCTTACATGCCAAATACTATGACATAGTCAAATAAGTGCATTCAAAGCAAGCTATCAGTTCATCGGTTTCTCAAAGTTCTTGGTCATCTGGATATTTTATGGAGGTTCACATTTATAATGTGAACAACTCAAGCATGTATGCTTCAAAGTTGCCTGCTGAAAATATTCTTGTGATTAATGCAAGGAATATAAACCCTGAACGGGGTGAGGGAGAATTGATTTTTAAATGTATCTGAACATTTCCAGAATATATTTTGCAACATTTGCTTATCTTTAAGCTTAATACATTTATTCTAAACTGTGGATGCAACAGCATGTTGTTATGTTTCTTTATTTTGAAGGCCAGCCAGATTGATTTACAATGCTCATTTTCTAAGAATTCACTGTTACAAAAATGGGAGGGGAAAAAAAGGGGAGGAGAACTGTGAAAGAAATAGATTCATGCAATATATGTTCAAACAAGGTTTGATGCAGGTAGAAGTGTCCAGAAACTTCAGAAATTGAGCGCTTTAGTCAAGTGTGGTTGTGAGATACTGCTGTAACTTGTTGATCATCTACTAAACAGTGATGATAACCTCAACTAATTAATAATCTTCCAATGTAATACTGAATTACAGACAAACTCAAGGCCTTAAGGAGTTCACATAGCTCCCTAGTGACAAGAGAAATAGACGAGTGAAATAAAACAAATAAAAAAAACGAAGACAAAGCCTGTACAGTAGTACTTCTTAAGAGATGAAGGTTAACAAAAATTTTTTTAGACGTTTCAAATTTTGGTATGTGTACATCTTCAAGTTTGTGCATTGCATAAAACAAGGTGGTACAAATATAGAAAAGTTCTACATAATACGTTAATTTAAAAATATAATTGATTCCACAAAGTTTTTAGGAAAAAGAGGAAAAATACCCTGGCATATTATTTTTAAACATTGAGAGACTGGTAGAATAGTTATCAATGGCAAATAGGATGCTTAGCAGCCATGAAAGTCAGAGTTCAAACAAAAAAGGAGTTGCAGGAGTTCTGGAGAAAAATAGCAGGACGATTTTAAAATGTCCATAAAACTGTTCATTGAAGAATGCTGAATTCTTATCACAGACTTTAAATCAAAAACTAAGAAAAATAAATCTTTATGTAACAATACCACATGAGACGCTGTTAAGGCTGTATTAAATCTAAAAAGAGGTGTACAAACAATCATTTCTCTGGTTTTTATTGATGGTGCCTTTTTTGAAGATTAGTATACTGCAACAATATATTAAGTCATCTGTCATTCTTCACAAGAAAGCTATATAAAATTGGCAAGTAACATGTTATAAAATATTTAAATTGTAGTTCATAGGAAAGCAGAGTACTAAAAGAATATCTGAAAATAACCAAGGAGGTGCCCTGAAAGCTTTTTGCTGGTACTGAAATGCAGAGGAGCTGAACTGTGCTCTCCAGTGGTTGTGTGCTCCTGCACTTCTCCTGCCAGGGAAACCCACTTTGAAGTCAGATGAGCGCCGAGGTGCTGGGGCTTAGGTCTATGCCAGGCGCTGCTCACCAGCTACTTGCATTGCTGCTGTTGGCACAAACCTCACAAGTGAGGAAAGGCAGTTACTTAAATGCCTACCAACCTTTACACGCATCTTTATACCCTTGATTGTCCACAAAATGGACGTACGGCAATGACACCAGGATGTGGAAGTTTGCTGCAGATTTCCATCTGGTGCCTTCCCAAAGGCTGTTTCTTCCCCCCACCCCTGGAGAAGTGACCTGCTCGGCGCTCCGCAAGCCTGGGCAGCAGTGGTGCTGCGCTGAGCTGAGCTGGAAAAAGGGCCGTGGGTTCTGTGGTTTCAGGCCACTAACTGTGTGTGGTCAAGAGTAAGACACTGCATGTGGTGCCATGACTCAGGTAACGGGAAGCTCTTTCTTCACCATAAACAACAAGAGGCTTCTCTCTGCTGTATTTGCTCTCTGCCACGTGCATGTTCTACTTGCAGTGTTACTGCCAAACATGTTGTAGTGTGATGTTGTGGGAGAGTAGACTACTCGTTCTGTATAGGGAAATCCAGTTACTTTTAGAAGGTATGTTTAATAGAATTGGGTTATTGGCGGAGAACTTTTCATGACGTTATACTGTGTGTGTTAGACAGAGTAAATCTCTTTGCATTAGGTTCAAAGACAGAAATGGATTTCCGAAGGAGCTGGGTGCCTAACTTGCTTTGATTTTGAAAATCCCACTAGGCCTGTGTTTGCAACTTTTTGGCACCTAAATAAACTTGAAAATCTGGCTCGAGAGTTATTAGAATAACACAAAGAAATAATAACTTATGTTTTTCATGCCAGAAGGGTTTTACTGGCACTGAGCATCTTGATGTTACACTGGGGGGAATTATATTTGCATGTTTGAGAGCACTGAATTAGTTATAACATAAAATAAGACTTTGTTTAACATATGTAAAGAATCTGTTCTCAAATACATTATTCCTTGCAGGGCTTGAGATAGTAAAGTGTTCTACCAAGCCTAGGAAGGCTGTAAACAGGGAGATGGCCGGTGTTCAATGGTTGATTAGCAGTCTGGAAAACAGACACAGAGCAACCACAACAGATTGCTCAGTCTTAATGCCAGACCTATTGTTAGTAATTTTTGCTATTCTTGCTGCTATTCTTTTGCTTAAGCCTCTTAAAATCTGCTTGTCTTCCAGTTCCTGTGAAAATATCTCATATAACTTAATAGCCTTGAAATGATTTATTTTGATAAATTTAATGCTATAAATTAGAGAGAGGAATGGATATTTTGGCTCCTAGGTTAGCCTTAGGCAATGGAAGAAATGATTTGAGTTTAGTGTATGTACTGGACTATGTATATATTTTTTTCCATGGCCTCAGGAAGACCCCAAATCTGAAAGCTCTGTATTAATTTTTAATGGTTAGCTTCTATTCTGATGAGAACTATTTCTTTATACCTCTGATAATACAATTGAAGAAGCAAGAGCTGTAGGGCTTGGAAAAATGTCAGTAATACTTTTATGATTTAATTTTAAACTTCTGGGCATATTGGAGAAAACAGTTTTTGAGTCATTTTTCCATAACTCATGTATTATACACATGCACGATGAAATGACTGAAAATAAAATTAACTAGATAAACTTTTCCAGTTGTTTCCTCTCCCAAACTTGAGCGTTGAGAAATGCAAGTTATAACATTTTTGAGCCATTCTGAAGAACAGATAAACTCCAAATTTGCTACTATATAAAAAAATTTTAAAAATCCGTGGAGAGGGAGATATTCACCGCTGACCTAGAGTTTTTCTGCTAAAGGAGACACATGTGCTATAGACCTGGTTGTTTGCACTCTGTATGGATGGAAATTGAGGGTGATACCAAGTTGGTCCAGCATAATGAAGTCTATTTGCAGTACGTTTTGGTGAAGTTTTCTGACTAATACCCCATCCTCTGGGGATAGTATGGTGGCCACGTAGCATCCACAATTTCCTCTGTAGTTGTTTGGAGGTCACTAGGTGCTTAAAAACAGGAAGGCGGTTACCTTTTCTCAGCGGTGTGTGGCACAGATAACTCGGTGCATTCCAGGGCAAGTACTGCAAAGCATTTCATGTCGGCAAAACATGCTGAAGGCATATTTAAGCTAGTCTCTCATGCTTTGTCTGTGTCCTTCATTGTCTTAATATAAAATAGCAAGGGATTTATTTTAATGTAAAACTAATTTCAAATGCTTATTCTTTCTTTACGTTTTTTAAAAAGTATCCCCTTTAATCAACATTTTATTAAGTTAAGACAGAACCACGGGAAAAATTGTGAAATACTACGTAAAGGAAAACAAGCCTTCAGAATTAATTATACAGAAGTAACAAGTGCACAGAGTAGTCTAAAACAGTTGTATATGGTTACTTAAATGCATTCTAAGATGTAATTCCGAGGTAACAATAGGAAGAATAATTTTGTACAATTTTTTAAAAGCTACTGAAAATTAATATGCTCTTCAGTACAGTGAGATCTGTAAACAGAAACTGATGGACCTATGCCATTAAACCAGCTGAAGACCTGGCTTCATGTGCTGAGCTAATTTTGTTATGCTCAGTGTTGTTTGGAAAAGGCTTTATAGGTAATGGTCGTTTTAAGGAATTAAAATGTATTTGCACCTGCCTGGAGTAGTTCTGTGCAAGGAGTGCTGTGTGTAAGGAGAGCTAGCTGGTAGAAAGCAAGTGATGTTTCTGCTCATGTAGCACCTGGTTTTGATTTCAGAAGAGAGACAGGAAAATTACTTAAATGGGTGGTGACATTAAATACAGCTGCTCTCTGGCAGAAAGCATGTGAGCTCCCTTTTACCCAAGTTAAAATACTTCTACCTTGCATCATGGAGAGGATCAGAGCTCCAGCTGTGTTCTCCCAGAGGAAGAGGCAGAAAGGAAGGCATTCCCCAAACCCTGCCTGCAGCTATGAAATAAAGTTCAATAAATTTGTCATTTTTATTATGCAGAGGAAGATGGGGATGACCAGAAGGACATTTCTAATGGAGCTGGCAAGAAGAAAAGGTTTCAGAGTAGAAAGTGAGCTAAGGTAGGAAAACCTTTGCATATGTAGAAATCATATATAGACATAAGGCTTGGAATGTTGTAATTTAACAAATGCAATCGTACAAGTGACTGCAGTGGAAGTTTTTGTGTCTTTGGTGGATATACTTTGCTCTTCCCACTATAATGATGTTTCAGTATTTCATTATGTGTTCTTGAAGTATGGCTCATTCCTGTTCTGGGAAGAAAACAGAGAACAGGCAGAATGCAGACACTAGCAAAAATGCTTATTTTTTTTACCTTTGAAATCTATATTTCTAATTTATCTCAGTCTGTCAATTTTAATGTGTTTGCACTTCTCAGTGTGCTGTTTCTGACATGGACTATCAAAAAAAAGTAAGGTCTGAACCTTGCAAATGCTTATCACAGGATTTGTTTCTGTGCATTTGTGTAGTCTCACTGGCATCAATGAATCATGTCTTTAGCTGATGTAAATCAGTGATTGTTTATTTCCCCATTGAAGTCAGGCTGGAATTAATCAAAATTTAATGGCCAATTCCTGAAATGAAAAAAATTAAACATATTGGCCTGGGAAACGTGATAGGCTGATGGAGATATGTTTCTCTACAATAGTTCTGGTATTCTAATAGTCTTTCTTTGAGTTATGCAATTCTGAGAGTTTCAAATAAAGAATTACTGTCATACTTTACTCATACAGCAAAGCACTGCAATCTGTACAATCCAGAAAAGCACTGCAGAAAAGGCCAAGGAATGAAATACCACAGATGCTGTGTTTCAGGATGAAGGTATACTCCAGCTGCAGACTTATGTCGTGGTGCTTGGGTAACATCAACACGGTTTGAAGCAGCCCTTCCTCTGCTTAGTGCTCTTCATGAGCACTAGTTATATCATTATATAGTGTTCAACAGGTCACCTGAAAACCTGGAAGAAACCGAAATATTGATCATTTCTCTATATCTGTATGCATACAATATATCACTGGATCTTCCTCATAAATTTTCGTTTTCCACATACTTTTCAATCCCGTCACCTTTGAAAGGCTGAGGAAGGAGGAAGAAAGCTCACGGGTAGAAATAATTTGTGTAGCAAGATTCAAGCAGGTATTGTATAGAAGTAGGCAATTAGAATCTAATACAAAAGTAATTGAATTCTTAGGAAAAAAATGCGTGGGGCTGTTCCGAATGCTACATAAACAGTCCATTGACAGCTGAGTATAGGGTTTATCTGGGCTGCTTCAACAGAGGTATTTATTGCCACTATTTCAAGCTTTCTGTAAGTTGTATGCAAGTCAGACAGGTGTATGTTTAATTTCAGCTTAGCTGCTACTGTATAAAACAGAACTATTTAACTGCTGATTTTTGTTTTTGAGAATGGCAGAGGAAACGCTAAATTTGTTACATTCTGTGCCAAGAAACAGCACAGCTGTACAGGTACCAGAGGAAACTGGTGCACAGCAACTAAACTGCTGCTGCGAGCATAGTGATGGCAAAGTTCCCAGATCTGCAGCTTGGTTCAAACACATTAAATATGAATATTTTATATAAAGTGCAATAAACCACAGGAAGCAGAAGTTCTATATCTCTAACTGATTTTTGTTTTTTTTTGATTCAAGTAAAGATGTGACAGTTTAATTAAAGTAGAGCCTAGCAGGGTTAAATAATAATAAAAACAATAATATTTTGTGGAGATTGACCTAACCTAGATTTGCCATCTTTCAGATTAAAAATAAAATGGGCGTTTTTTTTCAATGGGCTCTCTCTACAAGTTGCACAATATGAAGAGAAGAAGACTGTGTTATATCATGACATTTTTCTTATTTTTAAAATATAGCATGCTTGGTGCTTTTTTCATCTTTCCAGAATATAGTACATTTAATGCATTGGAGGGTTATGTTACAGCAGTTTTCTAGGGGATGACCCTGCAGTATTTGTTTTTGTGATCAGATGATTTAATGAAATCACTGATCATTGGTGTGAAGAGGGGCTGCAGGGATAGGTCCAGGGGTTTTGCTGGTCTCCTAGAACGAAGTTCGCTTTGAAAAGTTGTACGTGATCTGTGTCCTCCAACAGTTAGCACAGGTCTTTTTAAAATCGGTATGAGCTAGTCATCTTTACCAGTGGTACCTCGCCTTCTGGCTGGCTGTTTCACTTTGTCTAGTGCTAGGGAAGGGCTGCAAAGTGACCTGTGCTGTCCACCAGGATCAGCCAATGCCGTTGACACCGTGGGCTAGGGGGAGGATGCGGTGGCATCGGGACAATTCATGCTAAAATTCTGGGCTGTATTCCTATTAAAAAAAGGGTAAAATTAATCACGCTGGCTTTGTGTGTGTGTTTGCCCCTGTAAGTTTAGGAATGTGTTGGCTGATCTCGGTTAATTGACACAGATTTCAGGGATGCTGAGGTCCTACACCTTTCATGAAAACAAGCAGTTAGGCAAAGAGGGAAATGCAGCAGAGATGACACAGGTAAAGCAGAACCATGTAGGTGTGTGAGAACAACCTTGCGCTTTATACGTTCTAGAGACTTCACATGGGTGAGAGCCCTTATAAATGCTCCAAATGCTGGAGTACTGTCAACTGGAGGTTGCTTCTGCTGGGATGCCAAAGCCCATAAAGCATGAAACATGTTTCCTCAGCAAATCTGTTTGGGCGATAACGGTTCCTTAGCAAATCTGTTTGGGGGATAACTTGTTCTGCCATCTATTTAAGTGGGGCACTAGTTTCCTCCTTAATCAGTTATCAGCTTTGTGGGTGACTCTACTACACTGGGGAGGGGAAGACACGTTAGGAAGTTCACTCTTAAAATTTCCAACTGTTGCTGCTTTTCTAAACTCCTTGAGGAATAGCAACAGGCCAGGAAATCTATGGTTCATGGCAGGTATGTATGCAATTTCTTGAAACAAACATCCTTTGGCCTGGGACCTGGAGAAGATGCAAAACAGTGTTTTTTTTATAAAAATGAAGTATCATGTGATTCTTTCTCATGTTATTCTAACATATCAAACTGAATTTAGTATAGTAATCCTTGAGCTACCATGTTTTTAAGCAATACAACTACACAACTACCATATAATCTATTGAACAATAACTCAAACTAATCTGTAAATTTTGTATCAACTAAACCAGGGTATAAGTTTTCTAAGAGACTGCTGTCTTAATAGCAAGGAAGAGTCCTTTAGAAGGAGTGCATAATTCATAAGATTTAGATCATGAACATTTGCCAATGCCATACATACACAATAACACAAGGCTTAATATAAGTACAGAAGATTTAAATTTACAAAAACATTAGTAGCTGTAGAGCTTTATAGGATTACTGTTAATAGACTTTGTAACGCTGTAAAGCTTTCATTCGTTGCTCAGGAATTTTGAGGGGGGAAGGAGTCTGTCGGATATCATACAACAGCCTCTTTGTTCTGCTATTGCTTGCACAAGCCAATATTTTCAAGACTGCGAAAAGATGTGTATGTAATATGATAGTGTCCTACAGAATTTAAGTGATACTGAAAGAAAGAAAATGCTGCACTTACAGATGGTGTCAGGCTAAAGTGTTTCCTTAAAGTAGATTCACTGAGTGGAAGAGCTATATTGTGATATGAAAATGCAACCGGTGTCCCACATCCTTAAATACAATATAGACTATGATTTTCAGGAAGTGCATGGTATTTAAATATGGAAATGGCAGCTATGTAGCTGTCTGCTATTGAATTCAGAAAAAAGAAAACTTATTTGTGTATTTCTTGACAGTGACTCTGTCACTCATATTGTGGCAGAGAACAATTCTTACCTGGAGGTGTTGGACTGGCTGAGAGGACAGGCAGTCCAGGACAGCTCCAGATTTGAACTACTGGATATTTCCTGGTTCACTGCCTGCATGGAAGCTGGAAGACCAGTTGATTCAGAAATGAAATATCGACTCATGGTAAGTCAGATGCTTCAGAGCGAATGCAATGTCATTCGAAATGATCGACTACGTTTTTTTTTCCCCTTCGTATATACATATGTATATATAATTATGCTGTGAATCAGTTTTTGAGTTTAAGTACATTTTTTCTGAAGCTTACATTAGCAGTTCACATAGTTTTAACAAATTAAGAAAGATACTTTCCATACCTTTTCTAACAGGCTATATTGGCATCTGCCAATATAAGTTATAATGCTCTTGCGTGTTAAGGACTGAATAATGAGTACTTCTTATTTATGTAAAAATAGTGCCATTAAAGGGGAAAGATCCCTCAGTGAAATACTTGCTTTTGTTGTGATATTTGTGGTATTTCCACAAATGCTTAAATGTCATGGCAAATATACCACTGAGAGGGATGCATTTTAGTGAGTTCCTCATGGAATACTTTGTCTCTTCAAAACAATACAAAAATGTTAAAAATCTTCGCTGTTCAGAAGTGACCAGCTGACCAGTAGGCCCTTGAAGAACCTGTAAAGCGAAAGCTACTGCAGTCTGTGGCCAAACACTTACAAACTTGGCACCAGCAAGCAGAACTACGGTAAGAACCAAAGGCAGTATTATGTTGTATTACCTCCCAGTGGGATCTTTAAGTCCTAGGATGCAGGGAACGATAGGCCAGTTAATCTGGGAACAGCGTTTGACCTTCAAACAACGCATGATGACATATTTCCCTCTGATCTGTATCTGACAAAAGTATGTACTAATTTCTCAGGCTGGAGTGTTGTAATAAAACAGTGGTATTCAATATACCCAGTGCAGACTGTGAATAATGACTGTGTGGTGGTGGTGCTTGTACACACTGGGCACAGTGTGTCAACAGCACATGCCTCGAAATAGACCCTGGGATGCGGCGGGATTAATGTATTCCTTTGGGCTGCATGCACTTGGTTCCCACGATGATGGATTTAACATGGCCTAGTAAAGATATTGATTCATATGTCAAGAGAATTGCAAGTCTGATCTAACACGCTCTGCAGTGAAGTGCAGGATTCTTCCTGGGTTCAGGGGGCCTGGACCAGGCTCTGTGTGAATGACGACACCACTGCAAACGGGATCCGGGAAACCTGTGAACACCAGGACCACAGCAGGATCTGTACTATGCATCTCCCTGTTAAGCAGAGCATGTCTGAAAATTATACAGCAATATCACACTGTTTTCTTCTTCTTCTTCATCTGGATTTTTAGAATATGAAGAATGATTCCCCAATAAAAGCTATTGCTTCTGATTCATTTTTCAGTCATCTTTCATTGCCAGAAACTATTTTCCCAGATTTTACACATAAAAATTGCTGTTTAATAACAATTTAAAAAGCAATGAATACACCAGATGGAGCTGTCGCTCCCAGACTCAGCGTAATTCTGTGACAGAATGTGTGTTTATATTTGCAGTACTTCCAATGAACTATTTCGGCAGTATATTTGCAATATTTCCAGTTAATCTGCTGAAAGGAGAATACACTAAAGGAATGTAGAAAAGAAATAAAACTAAAAGCCTTGTAACTACTATATTATAGAGAAACAGATCATAAAAATATAAATCCTGGGTTTGCAAAAAATTTCTCTAAACAAGAAAAAATCCCAAACAGGTGAGCAAATCTATAAACCCCAATAAACTATGCTGAGAATTTTGCAGCAGGGTTAAAAAGTAAACCAAATTACACATTATGCAACTTCCACTTAATTTCAGCAGTGCTGAAAAACCTATGGCTTCAGATGTCTCAAAGTATCCGTTCATAGATTGATTTTTCTTTTCAAAGCAAGAAATGCCTGTCTCTCTCCAAAATGTTTCCAGCTATGCTGAAGCTTACTTTTTCTTTCTTTTATTAATCAGTGAGAAGGCTACTGAAAATTGAACTGCTTTAGTTTCCTTTTATATATAATAAGTAGGTCTTATATATAATAAGTAGGTCCTTTTGGAATAATGTTAGAGTAGAAATTTCTGAAAAAGCTAGCAGCACTGGGGTCATTACTATACTTCGAGGTTGGTTCTGTAAGCAAGAACTTCTGTATTTACTGAGGCATAGAGATTTCATGTAATAATTGCACAGCACAAGATGCATGCAAGCGACAGCTGTACAGTTCACTTGAAAACTTATAGTTAAGACCAATCTTAATTACATAGTGGTCTTCAAGTAATAAACATTTTTGTAAAGCAAAAAGGGAAGGAAGTGAAAGAATTCTAGAAATTCAGCAATTTTAAAATAATTTTATTATTGCTATGTCGTCAAAATTTTTTTTGCCTTGAGAAAGGAGGAAGGGACTGGAATATCCTTTTAAGTATTGGGTCAGACTTGTAAATAGTGTAATTTAATTGGCATTTCACTGAAGACAAATTTGGTTCATTATGTCAGTCTTGTAAAATGAAAGTGAATTAACAAACCTTGTACTCAGACTATGTCATAAAAACTTTGGGGTAAAAAAAAAAAGGATTGCAGTGGGAGAATGTTTTGTGTGAAATACCATCTACAGTGGGCTAGTGACAAAATTCCCATTAATTTCAATAGTGACAAGATTTCACCTTTCAGGTCTCAAAGTGGTCTGGAAGCTTATGTTTCCTTTAAGACATTTGTTTTAATGCGTTGCTGAAAAGAAATGTCCTTCTTAGTGCTGAACAAGGGCAGTAAGTCAGAGTTACAGACCATTAGGCAATATACTAATTAAAATTATCATTAAAGTACAGCTTCCCCTGGTTCTGAACGCTCTGCAAGATGCTCCGGTGTTAAAATGATTTATATAGTATAAAAGGCGGGGTGAGCTGGTCTGAATTCTTAGCAACTCACAGAATTCTGTGATTCTGTGGGAATTCTTAGCAACTCATTCGGTGATAGTTGGCTTTTATAGTTAATAGCCCCCGTTTAATTCCATAGGCTGCGCAAGCGTGGTAGCCAAGCACCAGCTTTCAAGGGAAATCCAAGTATCTCTCTGCTTTAAGAATGCCTTTGTCCCGCTGACGCCTCTGAGCAGAGAAGCACCTGCCCTACCAAAGCCCGTGGGTTTTCGGGACGCTGGTGTTGCGCGGCGCCAGGGCACCCATACGTGGTAGCGAGCACTGCTCTCTCCTGGCTAACGGGAAAGAAAGAGGCAGTGGGGGAACTTTCAGAGGGACGGAAAGAAAGAAAGAGGACCATAAGTGGGCTGGTGTCCTCACCAGCCTTACGAACCTTCCTTCCTGCACTAGGAAAAGGAAATCCCCCTCCCTCGGAGCCCCTGCGGTAGCATGACAGGCAACTCATATTTAACGTTTTCCTGAGCGTCTCACTCTATTGCCTCATGAAAGAGAGCGGCTTTAACTAATGGAAGAAATCTTTCATGCAGACAGTTAGAGTTCCCCAGAAAATAAAAAGAAACTTATAAACTAGCCATCCTCTGTTCATAAAATGCTGGCTATCAGCAGCCTTTATGATTTGATCAATGCTATCTGGACTTTACAAAGCTGCTGGCTGTTGAATAATGTGGCCTGACGCAGCCTCTAGGGTCTGGGCGCCTCGTGCGCTGCTGCCGCGCTCGCTCTTTCTTCCTTATTTCCCTATGCCATTATGCTGCTTTGTTTGTGCATTCGAAGAAACGTTTCGACAACGGGGGAAGTAGTCCTTACAGGATTAATTTTGCACCTAAGCACCTTTCCTGTAAAAACTGGTGTTAGGTGATACAGGCTGATTCTCCTGCTTATGCTGTGCTGAAAATGTCAGCGTAAGGGAACGCGAGTGACAGTCGCTCTTCCTGTGGCACAAAAGCTGGGTAAAATTGTGAGTAGTGCTACCAAGAGGGAAAGAAAAAAGCAGATCTGAAAAGAGAAGTGTTAAATTGAACACTTCAGAGACTGGAACTTTCTCACGTTCACATGATAGAGTGCCATTTTGCAGGTTTTCTGTAGCAACTCTACAGAATTTGAGGCATGGATTTTGTTAGAAACAAGCAAGCAGTCTACGCTTCTGGATATTTTCAGTGCTGATCCCTGTGCAGTGTGCCATGATTTGGTTTTAATGTAGTGTAGATGTCTGCAAAAGAGGGATTTAAATGCTTACGTTTTGCTCATGTTCACAGTTGTTTCCTCCCAATGCTTCCTCCCAATTATTCTGAGGCTGTGTGTTTTGCAGGGTTGCTTGCGCTACACTAATTGCCACTGGACAGAACTTTGTTTTGTTCCATAATCTGTACAAATTATATTCTCCCATCTGCTCTTCCCACCAAAAGCAATATAAATTCTGCTCTTGTGTTTTGCTGATGATAGGAAAAGATCACTTCTGTAGTTCTCAGGCAGACACCATAATATTCCCTCCAAATCAGACTATAGTAATTAGAGTTGCAATACGTTTTTTCTTTTGATTTTTAGCCCAATTTTGTTCAGTTATTTGTACAACCAAGTCCTGCTAATTAAAAGCACTACCATGTGGATGACTGAGGAAAAACGCTCAAATAATTTTGCTAAGGCGAAAGGGGATGTTTATGTGCCAGTCTATCACCCTCCTAAGTACATTGAGTTTCTGCACTGATTTTGCTCTCATCAGGCTGGTGCCAGGTAGTGCTGCGTATGGGGCTTTTGTTCCTAGATAGCCTGTCTATGTTCTAATGAAGATAACAGCTTATTGCATTTTCTATTCAGTAACACTGTGTTTGTTCACAGTCTTCTCAGCTGGCACTATCATTTCAAGCAGTATATTAGCTATAATCAATCATAGTTTTTATGATTTAAAATCAATTTTAAAGTATAATTCATGAACGTGTGCAAGAGGGGATGAGTAGTGCTGTTGATCCTGACTGAAACCTATTTTAGTTATTCCCTAGAGTGGACTTATGCATAAAAAAACTTCCTTCCTTTCAGCATATACTATGCAAACTGCCATACAAGTCTCTGCTCTTTCAGCTGTGTAAGCAAATGCCTTTATTTTTTTGTGGATACTATTATGCAACTACTCTGAATCAAATAGGAAGACAATTTAGTATGAAATTATGTGATATGTGTTTGTGTCTCACACATACACACGTGTGCGGACTCTTATGGGTTAACCTGCCATATTTGCTATCTTTATGCCTGCATTTATTTTGAGAAAGGGCCATTATTCCATTGCTGGGGTGAAATTTTTATCAGTGTATCTGTGTGATTTTTTTTGTTGAACCGTTTGCCCGTGGTTTTTGGATAGTGCGTTGTAATACGTTTTTGATAGATCTGCCAAATGTTTTCAGGCAAAATGATAAATGGGGAAAAATACCCAGAGATGCTGAGAATGCTGTGGGTGTTTCCAAAGTACTTCAAATCTGGGCACTTTCAATGAAAGCAAAAGAATCAAAGGACTGGACGTATACAGCAGTAGAAAAGCTGGTGCCAGCTTCTCTGTTCCCAGTTGCTCACTGGTCAGGACAGTTACATGTTGAGGACTCGTGCTCAGGATATGAGCTGACGTGTCCCACCTGTTAGGAGAACTCCCTCCTCGCGAGGCTAGAGAGACTGCTGGGTTCTGAGTCTTCAGACTCTCTTGTCACGCTGGTACCTTTTTCATGGAACAAAATGAGAAGAAAAGAGAATGATTGCATATGTGGCCTGGTGCTTAGGATGCTGTCGTTTAAGACGATGCACCTGGCTCCTTTTGCTTGCTTCAGTGAACTTTTAAAAGTAATGTGTGCAGTGGATCAGCATTTACAAAAGGAATTGAGCGAGAGACCACATCATCAGGTGAGCACAGGCTGTTGGATGGAAGGATGGAAATGATGCTTTTATGGCTGTTTGTAAATGTTCCCTTCACTTCATAACGATGCCCAAAATAGAACATTCTCTTTTAGCTGGATCAATTCAATCAGAGACAAAAATGTTTTCCTTTGTGTTGCCTAGAAAAAACAAGAGGGGAAAAGTTTATTTTAGAGTCATATAAGCATTTTTTCTCCTGCACTAAATTCAGCTGCAGACCCCAAAAGTCAGTTATGTGAGCATTGCTGTTTTTTCCTTCTCCATCTAACATCCCTGATTTTCTACTGAATCATCTAGTGTTTTCTGGAAAAAACTATCTGTGTTCTTTCAACTTTATCCTCTTTTAAGGCTTTATAGTTTTGGAGTCTTACTGCAATAACAGCAAAAGCAGTGTTTACCATGTAAAGACTCCCTATTTTTAAATAACAATGCCACTGAAATCTATCTGCAAGAACTTTCTGCACAAAATGAATAATCCTGGTAGTCACCAGATAACCAGTTTTGTCAGTGGAGCTAACAGGAAATCAATTGATTTTCCTAGGAAGATCCTAAGGGCATTATTATTCTCTTATCACCTTTAAAGGAACATATTTTGGGCTCTAGGTTTTTTTTTTTCTTTGTCTAGTTTTTTAAACTATTTATAGATGCAACACCACTTTACCCCCTCCCTTTTTTTTTCGGTAGGAGCAGCAAGATCAATCCCTTACTTCGAATACATCTGAATCAGAAGTACCATCGTTTACTGCAAGCAAAGTATCTCAATATTCGTGTCAAAGGAAGACAACTTTAAATAACTTCAACAAGAAATTCACGGTAATATGTATTCCATCCATGAAATAAAAGCTAGGATGAGCAAAATAATACAGTACTTGAGTCAATACTGTCCATGGTACCCTCAGCAAATTGCTGGGCTAAACATTCGGCACAATGATAGCAATCCAAAAAGATTAGAAATCTGCCGTATTTAAAATAAAATCGAGTGTAAACTTCATTGCATCTTTTAAGTATTGCTGCTTGAAAGCTTAACATAGTGTATCTTTAAATACACTAATATCTTGCAAGCACAGGATTTTTTTAAAAGCAAATGATAGAATGAAAACCTCTTTTGGGCTTTCATTACAGCCTTGTTTGACAAGATGAAAGTAATAATAAGCAAAGTTTGGTATTGGTCAGTTGAAGATACTTTACAATTGCTGTGGCCTCTATTTTTCTTCCCCGCGTGTTCAGTTCTTCAAAATGTGGCTGTAAGCTTTGTATTTTCACATTTGCTTAATTATAAAGACAGATTGTGTGATCAATGTAATCACTTTAACATGATGAAAACCCCCTTAAAGTGTCCAATCAAATAGACAACCCAGAAACTGTCATATATCCTATTTAAAGCTCTTAACATTACAGACTTCAGTGGACATGGAAAGCTTGAGTCATCTGCTCTAAATTCCACTTAAGTTCTTGTGCCTTATGTCGCCTCTTGGCTGGCTCTGGACAGTCAGCAACAACTGGTCAATAGGAAATTTTTGACACAGACACTAATGTAATTTAGTCTGAATCAGTCTGACCTAGATATATTCATACATTTTCAACTATAATATAAAACAACTCTGCGTCTTCTGGAACTTTTATTATTTATTTGTTTATTACATACTACTTTTATTAACTTTTACTTTTGGGGTGTGTGTGCCTGTAAATACTCACAAATCTTACAACTGAATATTATTTGAGAGATCCGTATAAAAAAAAATGCTGTTCAGAGTAACAATAGGTACCAGTATTTTGGAAATAAAAAACATTTACAAGAATCTAAATACTAAAAACCCTGGAAATTCAGAATTAAAGCTAAACCTGACAGAAATTCCAAAACACTTAGGTCTGGAAATGCACAGTTAAAAGTTAAACATCCTGGGCCATGTCTTATAGTAATGCTCTGAAATAATCATCGAATCTGATGAATATATAATAGTGTTTATGGTACTCAAATAGACTAAACTGGCTATTTAGAAATTTTCCCTTTATTACATAATCACAGCATAGAAAATTAAATGTAGTTGACATTTTTGTTCTTTACAATCAAAGCTTGTACCTGGGTAGGAATAGAACAATGTGTTGCTGCAGATATTGGATGGGGGCTGGAGGAGGTGACTGAAGAGGAGCACCTGAGAAATTGGCTTTGTTTAGTGTAAAGAGAAGACTTCATGGGGACCTAATAGCAGCCTTCTGGTTCCTACCAGGAGGTTACTGGGCAGAGGGAGTGGGGCTTTTTGAGGTGCATGACAGGAGAACAAGAGCCAGAAGTCATGAACTGAAACAGGGAAGGCTCCAAAGGGGGAGAAAGAAAAATTGTCACTGGGAGAATAATTAAGCTTTGGAACAGGTTGTCCAGGAAACCGCACAGACTCTCATCCTTACAGGTTTTCAAAATATGATGGGACAAAACCCTCTTTTGACCCTGCTTTGAGCATGAGGTAGGGCCTGCTGAGCTCCCTTCCCTTCTGAATGATTCCATCACTCTAAAAACTGCTACTTTCAAAATAGCTGCAGTGTCCTACTTTCTACTATAGAAGCAAGGCTACATACTATGTTTTCATTTAGTCTCTTAAAAACAGTTGTTTTTCATGGTTCATAAAAATCAAATTCAAGTTGCTGGAAGGGAAGATGTCAGACCTGGTGCAGTATGATCCAAAGATTCTAAAAAATACTGGCCTTCATGAAGAGGTCTTAGTTTTACATTTACTGAAAAGAGTGGAATATGGTAGACATTTTGAAAGTAAAAAGGGAGAAGCAAAGGGAAAGGAAAAAGCAAGAAGGAAGTGTAATGGAAAATGGCAAAAATAAAGTAACTACTCTTAGTAGGCATGAATTTGCCATGATTTTTAATTATTAATGAGATCCTGAGCACAGAAAAATCCAAAATAAGGTACAAACTTACTAAATAATTGATCTTTACTTGTAAATTCTCACAATATTTTCTCACAATGTTTCTGTTTTCAAAGAGTGAGTACTATAATTCTGGGGAATATATAGTTTATCTTCAAGTTATTGAATTCCAAGATTCGATTCAAACTTTACTGTAAAACTATGATACCAGCAACTTATTATTAATTGAGTGATTTCTCAGTTGTACCTGCTTTTCATAGACAGGCAGTCCCTAAATTACTTCCAGGTTTATCATTGCAGCAGCGTTAATGTCAGACTACAACTTGCACTTGATAAATTAACTTAGCTGTAAACGTTAGAAGGCACATAGTTAAATGACTGAAGTACGGGGCTGCGTTCAGATATCCCATATATCAAACATTTCTGAATCTGTGCAGAAATTATGTTTGGTAGTGACAAAGGTGGCCGTTTTTCATCTTGCTTTGAGAGAAACTGTTCCAAACTCATGTTGTATTTTATTTCTGGAGGTGGTACTGGACAAGTTGATAGTGCTTGTGAATCTATCCAGCATCCGTATCTTGAAACTTATAATGTAACTCCTTAGGGCTGTTTTTTTTCCTCATAACCAAAACTCGCAATGACAGCTGAAGGCTTAGGTGTTTATGGACTGCAAGTGTTGACCCAGTTCCTGGAAGTCTGCCAGTCAGTCTGCCTAATGTCACAGGGGCTTGATTTTCAGTTTTGCTGTTGTTTGGTGGGTCTTGTATTAAACCTGTAATTCATATTCTTGAATAAAAGCGTTCCAACAGATTTTTCAGTGCAAGCACTTAGCAAATGCAATGAAGCGTTGGCATAATTCGGTCATGCATGCTGTGGGTAGCCAATCGTTAAATGGTAGTTTTTCCCTGGCTCAGTGCCATACATCCTGAAAACTTAGGTCTAAAGCATCTTGAGTAATGGGCTGATGATAGTACTTTGTTACAACAACTTTATTCTATGAGACAGAGTTTTTCCTTTTTCTTACAGATGTTCTGTTTTCCTTGGTTAGCTTGAAAATACAGAGTTTTGATCTTGCCTGTTACAGGGGCACAGAGCTTTTATCTGCGTATGTATTCTTGGATGAGCTCAGGGGTCCTTGCGTTTACTAATAGACCTTGATGCCTTAATACTCTGTATCAAATTCCTCCCTTAAATGAGTAGAAGCTGAATTTGAGAAGGAGTGGCAGCTATATTTGACATGTTTTAGTCTGTCCGTAATAGCATGAAAACAGTCACTAATATGGCAGTGATGTGAATATAATGAGGCTTTGAATCTCCTGCTTGCTAGAGAAGAGACACTGTTGGAGACTTGATTATCTGGAGATCATATAACTGTAGTTAGTCATCAGTTTTCATCTTGAGTCCTGTTCAGTATCTATTTTACAGCTGAAGGATCATTTATTTAAACTAAATGGCAGAGAGGTTTGATGAGAGATCGTGAGGACAATGTGGAGATTTAGTATATGCTAGATACAATTTCTGTGCTCAGCTGTCCCATGTTTCCTTTATAGGGGAAGAGTCAGGAAATGACTTACAGATAGGTGCAGCAAGTCAGTTTTACACCGTAGAAGAAACCACAGAAAGGTTGGCAAAGACAGTGCAGATGGTGAAGTTTCCATGCCTGTATTCAATGTGATGCAAATTCTAAAAAAAATGTTTTTTGTGGGCCACTGCAAGACCTGTTATTTGTATGAAGAGTAAACTTATTATGTCCAGTCACATGCCAAGACAGAAACAGTGGTATTGTGTGGCAGCTTAAAGAGGAGAAATACAGTCCCTTGGGACACTCCACAGGATATTACTGCTATTGTGTAATGGCAACTCTTCAGATGAGTAAAGATGCAAAACAAGAGGCCAAATCATTTCACCGGAGGCTGTACTTTGATATATTTCCTTTATGTTTGTCCTAAACATTAATGTTATGATAGAATATAATATTACAATATTTTCTCTGACTCATTTGGAAATAGCTAGCCATCCTCCCCCTCTTCCCTCAAAAATGTGCACTTAGGGGCTGCACTGGGTTTTCATGTGGTAAAATAAATGGGGTCATTCTGCTTTGCCCAAGAGGGATTGCTGGATCTGAATATTAATACCAGACTGCAATAAAATTCAGAAAGACGTTCTTCTTTGAGAAGAATTCAATTTAATTCTTACCGAATAAACTAATTAAGTCAGTGGCAAATGGTTCTTTGATTCTGAGGCTTACTGCTAATGCTACTGACTGTTACTCTGCTCTGTTGGCTGTTGCTCATGGTAATGAGAATGTGAATGTTTAGCCTGGGAAAGACGACTGGTTTTCTTCCTATTCTCTTAGCGAAAAAAATAGTTCACTTCTTATTTTCTCTTCTTTTGGACCTAAAGAAATATTTATCAGTTATGTGAGTGGCTCCAGCATTTGCTATTGTTCCATTTTAAAATCAGACCTCAGGAGCACCTCGTTTTTAATTTGATAATGAACTTGGAGGCTCTATAAGTAGAAAACCACTAACTGAATGCATGTTCTAAATAACATGTACTGTGTCTTACTGAACACAGCTTACCTGAGCGAAAATTCCCCAGCTAGTACATCAAAATTGTAATGTGAAGTGTATATCTATCCAGAATGAACTTGTGGCTTGGTTGAAGGAGAAAATGAGTCTTCTCATTTTTGAGATAATTAACAGGATTCCCCCCGAAACACAGGTAGAATATAATACATTTTCACCTTTCAGCAACTCAAATTCTCACAAGTACTTCAAATCTATGCTGTTTTCTTTGAGCGTATTAATACATGTAATAACTCTTTAGTATTTTATATTTCTCATTTCACTGTTTGTTTTACTCTGCTCGGGGCAGAGTTATAGAATTGACAGTCTATCTGCATTGGTGTCCTCTGCCAGTGAATCTTCCCTCACAAT